GAAAGAGTAATACCACACAATGTCTAAATTCAACTTTTAAAATTTTCATGTCCACATTAGGGGAGCAGGCATGAAGAAATTACATTTATTCTAAGACCATGAAAAGCTATCCATTCCTGTAAACTTTGTAGAACAAAACTTTAGTTATTTATAAGACTAAATGTTGCTGGATTACTTAAAATTAACATATTTTACAAAATCCTCTACTTTAAACTTATCATAACATTTTCATAATCACTCAAAAAAAGCTTAGGATGCTGAAATGTTACACATTTGTTTTAATATAACGAAGTATAAGCATGCAATAAATCTATAATACCTCAAAAAGTAAAATGATGCCACTGGTTGAGTTGACTCCTTCACATGCAAACACCTATTCAATTAATGTTCAAATTAAAATAAAAGTACACATCATATCATTAAATAAAACATTCCACCTGTTTGTATCTCTGACAGTGGTACACTTATTTTTACTTATTACATGTACCTTGGATATTCAAAAAAAAGCTTTATTTTACTTTACACTGTAGTTAGCAAATCAGTTGGAAGACAGTACTCGTCTGAGTGGAGGAATGATGTGGCCAGGCTCTTATGCAGTGATTCGTAACATGACACCTTTTTATCATGTTTATTATAACACAAGCATCTCTTGGAAACAGCGAGTAAATATTGTGATGTCTTGGCTAACTAACCAAACGTATCCAGCCAACTGTGTGTTTTTGTATTTTGAAGAACCTGATGTCACTGGACACACATATGGACCTAGTTCCCAGCAGGTTAAAGAAAAAGTGCAACAAGTAGATAATATTATTGGTTATTTAATTAAAAAACTTGAGGAAGCTCACCTGTATGATGTAGTTAATCTCATTGTGTTAAGTGACCATGGAATGGCTAACGTTCCTGAACAGAATGTGATTGAAATTGACTCAATTTTGGATTCAACACTCTATGAAAAGTATGGAGGTTCACCAGTATGGAATATAAGGCCTGTTGATGGTAAACTATTATATGTGTATGCACAGTTAAGCTTTAAGTTTTAAAGTTAGTTTAGTGTTATTAAACAACTTTCCAAATTTGATTAATATTTCTGTAAAAGCTATTATGATTTTTATAAAACAATTTTCAGTATCAGAGAATTTTTCTTTTGGAACAGAAATAGCTAGTTACTATTTAAAGCTGTATGTATATGTGATGAAAACTGTGTGCAGCTTTATTTTCTTTCCTATGATAAGGATATTAATGTGCTGGAAAAAGTGCAGTGCAGTCTACAGTAGATACTGCAGTAATAAGGTTAAATAATGTTAACTACAAAAACTAAAAGACTCTTCAGGCTTTGGGTCTTTTTTTTTTCAGGAGTATGAGATAGTTAAAGGTGACATGAAACTGTTAGGGGCTAAGAAGTTGAATGATTTGTGTATTGATGATCTGCTTGAGATGTTGGGTAAAAAAAAGTTATAAATGTAAAAACTATCAGAGAACTGAGAAATTTTGTTAACAAATAAAGAACATAACTTTTCTTATATATAGTTGAAAACAATTTGAAAACTATCAGCATCTGCAACTATTGACACCAAAATCCCAAATTTATGATTAAGTTTGCACCCCTATATGTAATACATTGGAACAGTATTTAATTTGCATGTGTATATTTTAAAATTGATGTTTTGCAGTTTTTTATAGCAAAGAAGTTACTGCTAACTGTGCAAAACATTTTTTAACATAAGCTTAATTTAAAAATTGTAAGTGTAATTACTGAAATATAAAAGATATCATTAAGTACAGTAGTATTTAATGGTAGGGATCATGATGAAACAAAATGATGGCCATTAATATTGCCCATTTAAAAACACCTTTAAAATATTTGAATATTAACAATGATTATTTCACAATATTGGCTGAGCAAAACTAAAGCTTATTGTACTTATAAAGCTGCCTAAACCACTATATATACATGTTAAAGGAGTGAATCAAAATTTCCCTATTTCAATCAATTTTCATCTAAATAAGTAAGTGGTATGTTGAATGCAGCACTGGTTCAAATCAGATGTTTGTGAAGTCAAAATACTAAGTTTATAGTTTCATACAAATTAGAAACTCAAATTACTGACACTGACAAGCTAGAATATAAAATAATAAAGTCTTATCTTTCCTATCTGCTAAGATATTGCTCATGTAATAAATCAAACAGTGGTACCCCGCCCACCTCTTTCCATTTTTGGAAACACTCCCTTATATACACTTACTTTTATATATGACATGAATAACCAATCGGAAGCTTAGAATGTCACCCTAGTGACTTTCTCAGCTATTTTAATAGACTTGGCACCATCTCTTTCTTTTGAGCCAATATTTCAACGAGGTAGGGTGTGTCTTTAGTCTGTTTGAAATTTCATATTTTTTTTAGACT